AGGACTTGAATCCAGGTGTTTTGACTATTAACTCAGAACGATTCATACATGAATTCAAGTCACTGGACTTAAAATACATAATTGAGAGACTCAAGTTTACATGCCAAAGAGCATGAGCTGATTTTATGTCTCTACACGAGAGAATGTGTGTGGGCTTATCTGGGCTCTGGGCCCAGTCTCCTGGTTTGAGCAATTCCATCTTTTCCTTCAATTAGTGTCCTAGTCGCCTACCCGCCTACCTGCCCCTGGTCTCTGTGCTCTGATCTATGCCAGACAATTAAATCTAAAATGCTAATCCAACTTCAAAAAAAATGCTGCTCCCTTCCATGGTTCCGCATGACCCCTAGAATAGAATTCAAATTCCTTAGCCTGACAAATGTACCTTTGCTTCCCTACTCCAGCCCACTCCTTCTGACAATTCCAGCCCTATCTCCCTCCATGCTTTGTGCAATAAATATAGTTTGTGTACCACACTGCTTCTGGTTCTCTTCACTCAACCTGCCATGTATATCTCCATGCTGTAGCCTGGTCTAGTCCCTCTGCTCAGAACACCCTTCTTTGCTTTCATCTGATCATTCCTATTTCTCAAACTTTGGTTTAGGCTTTATTTCTTCCAGAAAGCCAGTGGCCATCCCTCCCCAGGCTAGGATGAATGCATGCCACTCCCAAGGGTTCGCATAGCACTTGACTGTGACATTTTGCCAAGATATTGAAGTGATCAGTTTACATGCCTGTGTCTAAGAATATGCTCTAAATTCTCCCAGAAGGCAAGGGCTCTATCTCTTCTCAGTTCCTAGAGCCTAGTACAACATCTGGTCTACGGAGAGTATTCACACTTTGAGTTGAAATTCCACAAGGCTCAGTCCTTGGTTATCATCTCTGTCGATGCTCACTTGCTTCATGACTTTGAGCAGTCTTATGGCTTTAATATCATCTACATGACAGTAAGTCCTGAAGTTTTCTCCCCAACTCAGGCTTCTTTCTCAAATTCCAGACTCATATACCCAACTACCTACTATCCATCTCCACTATCAAGTCTAATAGACATCTCAAACTCAGTTCAAATTTGAATTCCCAGTTGTTCCATTGGCCCTAAGTCTGTTCTCCCATGGCTTCCCCATATCCATTAGAGATAACTCCATCCTTCCAGTGGCTCAGATAATAGCCCTGGAATCACTCTGGATTCCTCTCTTTCTTTTACATGCCATGCCAATGTACTAGGAAATCCTGTTGGTTCTATCTGTAATATATATTCAGAATCCAACCATTTCTCACCACCTCCATTGCCACACCTTGATTGTGTTACCTTTGTCTCTCACCTGGGTTACTGCCATGGCCTCTTAACTGGTCTCCCTGATTTTACTTATGCCTTCCTACGTCTCTTCTCAACATAGTAGCTAGAAGCAGTATTGCAAAATAATGTCAGACGGTTATTTGTCTTCTCAAATTTCTGCAGTGGCTTTCCATTTCATTCAGAGTAAAAGCCAAAGGCACAACGTGGTCAAATCCCCCTTTACTTCTCCAATGTCATCTTATATTACTCTACTCATATCATTCTTGGCCTCCTTGTACTCCCCTGATCTGGAATTTTCTTCCTCTAGATTTCTTCCACCATGTGTCTGCTCAAACCTTATCCTTTAATTAATGACTACCTTTCTATGCTATTTAATATTGGAAGCCCACTTACCTTATGTCCCTGGAATATACCATTTCCCTTCCTTTCTCCACCCTTTCTTTTTCCAGGGTACTAGTGGAAGATTGTATCATCCAAAGATTGTATTTTCCAATATCTCCTGTTCTGCATTCTCTTTTAGAATCTTGCAAATGCCTCTCTATCCAACAAGAGATGGAGTCTAATTCCCCTTCCTTAGACTATAGGTAGTTACTACTTGCTTATGACCAATACAATGAGGTAATAGTGATGCTTTATGATGTCCAAGTCTAGGTCACAAGGGATGATGTACTTTCTACCTTATTAGCTAAGAGGCTTGCCTTTGAAGCTATGAGCTACCATGTAAGAAGTCCAACATCCTGAGGCTACCATGCTGTGAGGAAGCCCAGGCCACCTGAAGAGGCCATGTGTAGGTGTTCCAGCTGGCAATCCTACTGAGATCCCAGCGGACAGCCTGCAGCAATCACTAGATATGAAAGGAAAGATACTCTCTGATGATTTCAGCCCCGGCCTTAGAGCCTTCCATGTCAAAGTTTCAGACACCAAGGAGCAGAAGCAGATCCTGTTGTGCCATGTTCAAATTTCTGACCCACAGAATCAATGAGCACAATACATTGGTTGTTTTGTGTCGCTAAGATTTGGGGTAGTTTCTAACACAGCAAATAGTATGTTTCACTGTGTAACATACTACATGAGCGGGAGGAGGGGCAAAGGGAGAGAGAGAATCTCGAGCAGACTCCCCACTGAGCACAGAGCCCCATGTGGGACTCGATCCCTCAACCCCTGAGATCATGACCTGAGCTGAAATCAAGAGTCAGACACTGAACCGACTGAGCCGCCCGAGAGGTCAACTTGTCAAACCCACTTATTTGTATGAGAAAAACAAAACAAAACAAAACAAAACAAACCTGAGCAGGAGCGACAGGCAAGAAAGAGCACGTAGCATGTTGGTTTGACAGTAGGATTGGAGGCCCAGGAACCTTATGTCTACAACAGAGCACAGTCTTCAAGCAGACCTGCGACTCATATGCCCGTTATATAGATTCCAGACATCATGGGAGCTTTGATGATCAAAGCAATATCCAGCTCGAGTCTAGGAAAGGGGATGGGCACATTGTGGAAAGATTCCTATAAAGTAACTCTTCCCAATTAAGCTCCAGTTAATCAGAAAATGTGTTAACTAGAAGCTAAACATCCCAGTTAACTGATTAATATAATTTGAACAGATTGAACGCAAGGCTGGTCTAGTTAGCGATGTTTCCGTTTGAGGTCGAAATGATGGAACAACATACACAGTTTTCTCTCTCACTATAAAAGTGGACCGTTTCCATGCTAGAAAGTTTAGAAAATTCAAAAAGGCACAAAAATAAATTTTAAAAATCAACCCAAATCCTATCACACAGGAATGGATACTTTCAAAAAAGATATCATTCTGGAAAGAAAGGTACTAAAGGAGTCAAATGTACTTGTATTTTTGTTTTCAGATGTTAGACCACAGGGTCTGGAATAGTGTTTCTCAGTCTTTGACTATTTGTTCCCCATTCTGATAAGTCAGCTGTCTCCCTTAATGCTATTCAAACCTTAAAACAAATGAAATAGTAGGGCTGATGACTTATTAAACCATCATGACACTGAATGAGCCTTTACCAACAGCACACTCTCTCCTGACATTCACTCGCCAGTCAGAGCTACACAGTTGTGCATAAGCATGTGTGTATAACACTTTCAGGGGCTGGGACTATTCAACAAAACTCCTAGGAAATCAGGCCCAGGGACGGGAGGCGATGAGACAATCTCCTTCAACTATTATCCCAATTTCCTCCAAAACTTGTAGACTGAGCATATGAAAAATGCTCTTTTCCTTGGACCATATTTGAAATTAAATGTACGTACTCTTGAGCTGGTCATTACTCCTATCCATTGACATAAACGTTTTTGTTCCCATAAGTGTGTCAAACATGCCCCCTGCCACCGTGTTTTATACTCTCCTAGTGTTAGGACCAGACTGGCCCCTTATAAATCAATCACCTTATCCAAACTCTCCACTCAACTAATAAAGAATCTCAAAACTCAGGGAGCAAAATGATAAGCTAATATCACACAGTTTATTGTATTGGAATCTGGCTGTCTGGATCCCCAGTTTAGCACAATTTCATGACCTCACACAGCTTGTGAAACTGCTTTGTAAGCTTTTTCTCAGAATATAGTCTGAGAGATAAACTTAGTCTGCATTATCAAGAATTCCAAATGTGTAGAGTCTGAGTCAATGCGTTCCCACTGCACACAGTGTATAATTGAAGCAAGCATATTTGGGGCACATGCTGCATGTGAAATAAAAACCCACAAAAAACTAGTACATATAACTCAGAGCCTGGCATACAGTAGATGCTCGAAAGATATTTTGGGAACGAAGGAGGAGAGGGAGAGAGAGAGGAAAAGGAGAATCAAAGAAAGAAATGCTTGTTTTCAGAGCCGGCTTCAGGAGGAGGCTTGCAAAATTCCTCTGGGGGCGTGAGGTGCCCTTTAGTTCAAGAAAACATCTTTTTTTTTTTTTTTTCAGGAAAACATCTTAATGAATTTTTCCTCCTATTTTATTTTACTCTTTGTAAAAGGTGAGGCCTAATGGGCAAGGTCTGAAACAAAAGAAGGGAGATAGAGAAAGCTGAGTTGTTCTGCATAACAGCGAGGGGAGTGTAGGAATTCTTTTCCAGGCTGCTGGGAAGAAGAAGAAGAAGAAGAAGAAGAAGAAGGAAGATTTTGAGGACACCACAAAGGACTTTTGGGAGGGAGTGGACAGACATGTGTCAGGAGACCAGAACCTCCGGAGGGCTTCCATTCAGGTACTTCCTGTACTTTGCTGCAACCCTTCTCTTATTCCCCAAACCTCAGTAACAACCACTACTCACAAAGTCCTTTGCATTAGAGACGCTCGGCGGAGGGAGGACAGGGATGAGCAGGGGTGAGGAGAAGGTACAGAGAGAGAAGGCAGCAGACACCAGACGTGATACTGACTTGGTAGGGGTGTGGGCTGGGTGGTGAGCAGCAGGAGCCAGATAACGAGGCCAGAGCAGGCCTCCCAGAAATCACTGGCTTTTTTTTTTTTTTTTTTTTTTTTTACACAACAGGTGGGATGGGGTTTGAGCCATTCTGTCTTCCTATTGCAGGAAAGTATGAATGCAAACTGATTCAGTATGTCTGGGTGGGGACTGAGATGGTGCCTCTCCAGCATGCCCCCAAAGCGATGCTGATGCTGCTGGTCTGGGGACCATACCTTGAGTAGCTAGGATTTAGCACCCCTAAAACCTCTGCACCCCGGTTGGTCTCTTACCTCATATTCCTCCTTGAACCCGTAGCCCTGGCCTCTCTTCATCTGGGTGATGTGCTGTAGCAGGTCAGCCACCCGGATGGCGGGCTGGAACTGGTCCCGGGGATAGCTCATCTCCACGGGGTCGCAAGCCCGGTAGGGGTGAGTCTGGATTGTGAGCGTAGGCTGGGACAGCTCCCCACGGCTGCCATCTGCTTCAAAGAGAAGGAGGCAAAACACACATCACCTATGAGAGTTTTGTCCTCTGTCCTCCCTGCCTCCCCCAGGGCAGGGGGAACTAACTCAGGACTCAGGTGATCAGGAAGCCACAGGAAGAACAAAGACACACTGCTTCCCCTTGCATGGCTGTGGAGGTCAATTTAAAAATCAAAACAACAAACCAACCAAAGAACACAATAGCCCTTTGGGTTTGTTTCTATTCCAAGGGTGCGTATCAGAGCAGAGACAAAATTCCAGGTTGGCTGTCATCCTCTGTCTCAGTCCTTGACAAAGGTGGTCTTGGCTAAGCCTGGCCAACCCCAGAACAAGTGAGAAGCCAGACGGCTGTTTAGGAAGGAGGATGCCAGGAAATCATCTCTGGTGCCTGCCTGCAAGTGAGGAGAGCCCCAGGTCTCTGGAGATCAGAGCCACGTGTCTGCTCCTGCTCCATTTGCCTACATCCGCGAGAGGAACTGAAGCCAGTCTAGGAACCCCAACCGGGAGCAGGGATGTTCACCCTCTCAGCCGCTCTCTCCAGCTGTGGGCTCTGCAACAGCGATCGCCTTCTGCTTATGGTCTAGTTTCCCCACTGCTTAACACTCTCGATCCAGGAGTGGCGCCGAACCTACCTGTCAGGTAAGGAAGCCCAAACCTCTTCCTTTAGTCCTGCTAGCTTCTTCTCCCAGGCCTGGGTCCTATGCCCCATCTCCTTTCTCAAATCTCTCCTTGATGGAAGGTCTATGCTCTCCTTGATAATAATCCTCACACCCACTGAGCTGCACTGACCGGCCTCTGCGAGCTTGGCCACCCTGGAAACCATCCTGCTGAGGCTAGATGTGAATCCCCCTGTTCCCTTTGTACCAGAACCACCACATTCTTGCCCCACTGACTCCCCGGCAAGCATACCTTGCTGGTCTTTCAGGGCTACTTTGTCTTTCTCACAACCATCTAGGCTTGGTTTCCCACATCTCCTCCCAGAGACACGGACAATCTACACCCTAGGCCCTCCTGGTGTGGCATGCATGAGGTGAGAACTGCCACATTTGATGTGACTCACCCCGGCGTTTTCAGGTCCCACAAGGTACCCATGCAGACCCCATTTGAGCCTATGCCATGTTCACTCCCTGGGAGGCTTTAGCATATATTCCTGACTTTCTGCAACTTGTCTTTTCAAAATTCATGTTTCCTTTAGCTTGTCTGTCGCTCATGTCACAATAATCCCCCCGACATTGATTCTGTATATAAAAGTGAAATTTTCTATGTGACAGCAAGAGCAAAACTGTTCCAAGCAAGGAAAGGATTGCCAACGGAAAGATCTAGAGTGTATAGGTTTATGTACAAGGAGGAAGGGCCTAGGTGAGATGTTAACACAGCTTTCCTGACCGCCCAGAAGAAAAATACTGCTTACTTCTTCTGGGATCATAGGTAACAGGTAGTACGTGTTCACTGGCATTGTTTCAATGTAGATCTTTGCAAATGTGGGGGTTGCTATTCTCCACCACACCCATGGGATCAGGAGTCAGATTTATTGAGAACTCACTCTCAACATGCCAGGGATGTGGTAGGCACTGGCAATGTGCAGCACACAGATTTCACCCTCAAGACTCGATAGTCTGGTATGGCCGACAGACCAGAAGAACCATCTGAAGCACGAGAACAGAAGCCAGAGAAGCCAAGCACGTTGAGGGAAGAGCAAGGAGGCTGGAATGGAGAGAAGGTGGTGGGTGGAAATGTGAAGGGGCAAAGCTGTAAGAGATGATGAGAGGTAGGTCAAGGAGGCTGTAAATGGGTGAGAATCTCCAAGCCAGTGGGCAGCTGCTGAAGGGTTTTAAGAAGAATTCCTCTCTTTAAGGACACACTATTTTGCTGCAGGTGTCCCAGCTGTCTTGACATGAGGCCTCCTTCCAGTGAACATCACTCCTGTGATGCTATGGTGGTCTTGGGGATGGGGAAGGGGCACTTGAGTGTGCTTCTCTAGATGCTGCACTTCACGATCCCCAGGACAGCATGAGCTGGAGTCTGTGCCCGGAGCCCTGTGTCTCCCACCTAAACCACCAGCGCATATGGGGACAGATGTCTTTGCAGACCCGTGGTCTCCCAAAGGCCCTGGGGCGTGGACTGCCTATGAGGCTGGCTCCCTGGCAGAGACAGGCATCTTGGGAATGGGCCCCTGGCAAATTTTGTGAGATGCCAAATGTTTCCCAAACCAATATGGATATTTTCCCTAAACACGCTGCTACACAGACTGTAAACTTGGTGTCAGCAAAACCAACACTGGAATGGAAAACAAATGCATTTGAAATTTAACAACTTGTATCGCTGTAACATTTGTAATAATGTCAACGCTGGTGCTAATGATGCTATGAAGACTCAGAACCAAGGGGCTTTCAAGGTTTATTAATTCAACTAGTTGGACTCCCTTTCCAATATATCTAACCTCACCTATTCCCTTATTAACCTCCGATAATGCAGAAGTGATGCCTTTTATCACACCCCATTTCACCAGACGCACTATACTTAATTTCCCATCATTAGGTTTAATGAAAACCCAATTTCACAACTCACTTCTCTCAGGAACCTACAAGTAATGCTACGTTTTTATCAGCCCCAATTAAAAAGCGTTATGATGTTCCTATTCGAGAGGGAGCCTTAAAAGTAATGTGCGATTCGGCTGCTAATTCAACAAGGGCGCTAGAATTCACATGCTGCTCATAAAATGTAACTCAAACCAGCTGGCCCAGGGAGAGAACACTGCTCATTTTTCTCCTCGCTAGACCCTTAATTTTCATGCCATTTCAGCTTCTCATGTATGGGTCTTGCATGTTTATTTATCACGTAATCATATTTTGGATGTCTTCTGTACCTTTTCTATGGCCATTGCCTAAGCCTGTGAATTCCCCTGCAACTTTTGTGGCTGCCTGCAAGGGGCTTGTGGGTGACACGTATGAGATCTCCGGATCACCACTGTCCCTCTACCAGTTCCCCTCCCTTCTGGACTTGACCTTTCTATTTTTTTTAATCCCCCTGCTACCAGTCATTATTGATCTCCCCCCTAGCCATATATTTCCAATTACTTGCTAGGAATTGCCACTCCAGCTGGTTAACAAATATTTACTGAGTACCTATATTGTGCAGAGCACGGTGTTAGATACCGTGTACGTACAGGAGGGTGGAGGAAAGTGTGTTCAGTGGGAGATAAGCACGCCACAGCCCTTGCAGGAAAGAAGAGATAAGGTGTGCATAAACAAGTCTAACAAAGGTGGGAAGGGACAGGTGCCCAGGAGGTGGGAGGGTGATGTGCTGCAGAGCTGGGAACCCCAGAAATGCTTCTCAAGCTTTAGGCACTCACACCCCAGCTCTGTGGTTTTTGCCATAACTATGTACAACCTACATCAGCTCTGTATGATAGAACTTCCCACAATGATGGAAATGGTCCAGATCTGTGCTGTGCAATATGATAGCCACTAACCACAAGCGGTTCCTGAGCATGTGGAATGTGGCTAATGTGACCCATGAACTGAATTTTAAGTTCTGTTTAATTTTAATTAATTTCAGTTTAAATATCCACAAGTGGTTTATGGCTACTGTATTGGGCAGCACAGATTTAGAAAAGAAAAAGGGAAATAGCACTTGAGTCACATAATAGGGCAGAGAGGTCCATGGAAATATAATGCAAGCCATATAAGTTATTTAAAAATTTTTTAAAAATTTAAATTCAACTAGCCAACATATAGTGTATCATTAGCTCCAGATGTAGTGTTCAGTAATTTATCAGTTGTATATATCACATCACCTGCCCTCCTTAATGCCCATCACCCAATTACCCCATTCCCCCCACCCATCTCCCCTCCAGTAACCCTCAGCTGACCTCAGCCACAGCAACTTCTTGCTAGACAAATCTCCAAAGGCAAGGGAAACAAAAGCAAAAATGAATGACTGGGACTTCATCAAGATAAAAAGCTTCTTCACAGCAAAGGAAACCGTCAATAAAACTAAAAGGCAACCTACGGAATGGGAGAAGATATTTGCAAGTGACATATCAGATAAAGGGCTAGTATCCAAGACCTATAAAGAACTTCTCAAACTCAACACCCAAAAAACCAAGTGATCCAGTCAAGAAATGGACAGAAGACATGAACAGACATTTCTCCAAAGAAGACATACAAATGGCCAACAGACACAAGAAAAAATGCTCCACATCACTTGGCATCAGGGAAATACAAATAAAATTTTCTTATAGCAATATTAAGGTAAAAGGAATAAGTGAAATTAATTTCAAAAATACATTTTGTTTGATACAATACACAAAATAGTATTTTAACATAGAGTCAGTATAAAATTATTAACGATATATTTTACACTCTTTATTCATACTAGGACTTTGAAATCCAATGTGTATTTTGCATTTACTTTAGTGTAATCTTATTTCAATTCAGACTAGCCATATTTCCAGTGCTCAACACCAACAGGTGACTGGTGGATGGTGCAGGTGGATATAGACTTATCCAGAGCCAAGTCAGGTTCTAAAGGGAACTGATTTAGAGCTACAGTGAACTTCAAAGGCACTGATCTAGTGGAAGGCAGCTCTAACACAGCACTGCCCAATAGGCCATTTTACGATGATGGAAACGTTCTATGTTTGTGCTGTTCAAGATGGTAGCCCCTAGCCCCCCGTGGCTACTGAGCAACTGAAATGTGGCTCGTGTGACTCGGGAACTGAGTTTTACTTTACATTAATTTCAATTTAAGTTTAAATAGCCACATGTGGTCAGTAGCTGCTGTACTGAATAGTGCACATCTATATGATTATGTCTTAAATTTTTTCCCGCAACGTTCCACATTTTTAAATTTTATTTCATTATGAATGATAATCAAACATAAAATCATGGGTGCAATATGCCAGTTTTTGTTCCATGCTCACTAAAACGTTTACCTAACTATTTCAGAACTGGCCTGACCATGTCCCGTGAGAGGAGCATGATCTACCCCCTGAGAA